TTAAAACAGGAGTTTTAATATATGCTACCCACAAATCAAATCAGAAATTTCCCTCATATAAAATTTTACAATGGTAGAGGATTCCAGAAGATGAACATATGGCCTGTACTATAGTTACTGAGTGAATAGAGAAGTGCTTGGATACGGCTATACTCCCTCTGTGCCAAAATATTTTGAAGGGCTATTTTGGACTTAAATGATGAAGCAAAGGTGTGAATAGGTAATATACATACAATGGAGAAACATACACACTAGAGATGGCACAAACCTGTTTGGATGTCTGTGCAGTTTCATTGGCATAGCATCACAGGTGCCACACATTCACTTCCCCCACCTGTGCCAGCCTCCCCACTCACCAGCCGGTTTGTGCTGCTTTTCTCCTGCTCTTTGTGTGATCATCCAGTCTCAGCAGGAGCACAGATTTCCCTCCTCTGCCTCCTTCAGCAGCTGCCCACTCAGATGAGAAGGCAGGGCAGGGATTCCTGCAGTGCTGCCTTTGAGTGGGCAGCTGCTGGAGGAGTCGGAAAGGGAAGTCTGTGATCCTGCTGCAGCTGGACGATTGCACAAAGAGCAGGAGAAAAGCAGCACACACTAGCTGGTGAGTGGGGGAGCTGGCGGGGGGCAAAGTGAAGGTGTGGCACCTATGGTGCCATACCAATGAAGCAGCACAAACTTATACTAATAGTTTCATGCCTATCTCTAATATACACCCTTTAACATCTCAGTTAAACTAATGTTGCCAAACGTGCTTTGCCAAATGCAGACAGGAAAGCTATGTTCCAGTTTCATATCCCTTTATTTGACGAAGGCAAGGAAAGCTATGTTCCAATTTCATATCCCTTTATTTGATGAAGGCAAGTTTCTTCTTTTTTTTCTTTCTTTCTTTTTTTTTTTATGGCAAGCTGCGTGAAGGGAAAAACCCCTCTGCCTATGCCCCCGAGGAACAGCTGTTCTGTGGGGGCATAAGCAGAGGGAAAAACAAAGAGATGAATATAAAAGGGTTAAATTAATTGCTTTGTATTTGTCAGGGTCTCTGGACCTCTGGAATATGAAGCAACAAATATCTGACGAATCAGTGATACTGGTTGAATATCACAATATTTGTTCCCATGTCTAGTCTGGAATCATGATTTCTGTGTTTTAATCTGATCACAAATGGGGCCTATGACTTGATAGTGGTCATAGTTAAAAATCATGAGGATCTGTGCATCGGATCCATGTTTTGCAGCACTGCAAAACCAGTTGCTGGGAGACCTATGATTTCTGCCATATAGTTTGTAGGCACAGATGGGCCCTATGATTGAATAGTGGTTTGGGGATGATCCTATGTAAAAATCATGTGGATCCAAGAACTGGTGGATCGCTCAGTGGTTTACATCTCTGGCTGCACAATCCGAGGTGAGGATTTCATTTCCCCACTGTGCCTCCTTGTTGGGGATTGGACTTGATGATCCATAGGGTCCCTTCCAGCTCTGCAGTTCTAAAGTTGGTATTGGTATTTGTCCATGTCTTGAACTGATGGTTTTTTCACCACTGTAAAACCATGCACTCAGGGACCCAAGATTTCTGTGTTGTAATATATGGGCACAAATGGGGCTTATTTCTGGACAATGGTTTGGGGATGATCCTACATAAAAATCATGTGGATTCATGAGGATCCATGTTTTTCCACCACTGCAAAGCTTGGGAACCATGATTTCTGTGTAGTGTGTTGAACAGTGGTTTTGGATCCATGTTTTTCCACCACTGCAAAGCTGCGGAACCATGATTTCTGTGTAGTGTGTAAACATGGGACCTATAATTGGACAGTGGTTTAGGGATAATCCTGCTGAAAAATCATGTGGATCCGTGAGGATGTGTGCTTTCAGATCCATCCATCCATTTTTCATCTCCTTTCTATCAGCTGTAGAGGAAAGTCGCTTGTGTCTTTATGGGGCTAAAGCAGTGTTACTTTTTTAAAAATCACAACTTGAACTTTGCCCAAACATCCCCAAATTTGGCACAGAGCAAGAGCAGACTTTCTGCTACATCTGTACAAAGGTTGGTGCTGATCTGAAGTCCAGTATCTTAGCTATATATTTTTTATTTGGAGGCCCCCATCTTTTGATTTGCTTATAGAATCCTTTTTGATGTGCTTCCACAACATATATGGCACCAATCCTTGAGAGGGGTGACCAAGGAAGTCTTTGCTTTGTGAAATCAGACTTCAGAAGAATTCTGTGGTTAAGTCCTAAAGGCCAACTATGAAAGGGAAGAGAGAGAGGGAGGGAAAGGAAAAAGTACTGTAAGTTAATTTGCACCCTCCCAGAGGTAACAGTAACTTAAGGGTTTTCATCTTCTTGTCACAGACTATCTTTAGCATCTATTTTTGCCATTGAGGAAGTCTTTGCTTTGTGAAATCAGACTTCAGAAGAATTCTGTGGTTAAGTCCTAAAGGCCAACTATGAAAGGGAAGAGAGAGAGGGAGGGAAAGGAAAAAGTACTGTAAGTTAATTTGCACCCTCCCAGAGGTAACAGTAACTTAAGGGTTTTCATCTTCTTGTCACAGACTATCTTTAGCATCTATTTTTGCCATTGCCTTCTTTCATGATCTGGATGCGACACTGCCCTTTCTCTCCCAAACACAAAGCAATTGTTAGGGCTACTTTGCCACAAGTGTGAATGGTAGTGAGCAAAAGAGGGTATCCTGGCGACCATCTTGACTGCTGCCATTGGAGTTGTCAATATTTTGGCTGCCCTTTGCTATGTAAGTCGAAACATTCGTATGTTGAGCCGTTCGTAAGTCGAGACCCCACTGTATCTTTAACATCTATTTTTGCCATTACCTTCTTTCATGATCTGGATGCGACACTGCCCTTTCTCTCCCAAATACAAAACAATTGTTAGGGCTACTTTGCCACAAGTGTGAATGGTAGTGAGCAAAAGAGGATATCCTGGCGACCATCTTGACTGCTGCCATTGGAGTTGTCAATATTTTGGCTGCCCTTTGCTATGTAAAGCCATCCCTTTTCTTGCTGGCAGCACGGGGTCAGTGTTGTGCAGCAATATCAGATCGTTTCCTGGCATTTTAAATCATGCATACAGAAGGCACAATATCTCACACCCACACACCAGAGTCCTTGGAAAAGAGTCCTTGGAAAAAACCTTGATGTTAGGAAGGTGTGATGGCAAGAGGAGAAGGGGACGACCGAGGATGAGATGGCTGGACAGTGTCTGCGAAGCAACCAACATGAACCTGACACAACTCCGGGAGGCAGTAGAAGACAGGAGGGCCTGGCGTGCTCTGGTCCATGGGGTCACGAAGAGTCGGACACGACTAAACGACTAAACACACACACACACACCAGAGGTTTTTAGAAGAATTTACAATAACATTATACTTCATTGAAGTTGTGAAAATACAAATGAAAGTTTGAGCCAGTTCCAGACCTATGCCACTAGCAGAGAAGGGAGAAAGAGAGAAAAGGAGTTGCCCCCTGCATTGAGTGCCTTTGCAGTCTTTACTGCATGGGGAGGGGACAGCAAGTGAGGAGAGGCTGCACTCTCCACTGACTGACCATTTGCTTGCCTCGTGGCGCAGTGGTTAGACTGCTGTACTGCAGCCAAAATTATGCTCACGACCCAGGGTTCAATCCTAAGTAGCTGGCTCAAGGTTGAATCACCCTTCCATCCTTCTGAGGTTGGTAAAATGAGTACCCAACTTGCGGGGGGTGGTGGTGGAATGTGTAGTCAGCATAATTAACTTGTTAACCGCCCAGAGAGTGCTTTAATGCTATGGAGCTGTATATAAGCAGCACGCTGTGCTTTGCTTTTGCCTGCCTGCTTGCACACATATGTGTATCTGTAGATAGTGTATGTGCTTCTGACTGGGAGAATGTGTGTGAAAGGCGGGCTGGAAGGGGGGTAAGCAGGTGGGGGGGAGAAGGGCAATTTGTCTCAACCGAAGAATGACTGAACACCTATGTTAACCGCCCAGAGAGTGCTTTAATGCTGTGGAGCTGTATATAAGCAATTCGCCTCAACCGAAGAATGACTGAACACCTGACTCTTAAAGAGAATGGCAAAAAGTGTATTGTAATAAAAATAGTGCTGAATGGGGCTATGTTAAGCAGGGTATTGCGTTACTTCATTCAGCTAAGGATACAAAATTGTTGTGCACGGCCCTTAAGGAGTCCTCTTTGAACATCACAACCTGCATACCAGAAATCTGCTGTTCCCAAAGATGGCACAATCTTTCTATAGAGTACTTTTCTATAGCCTGCCTAAGCAATGCTTAGTCAATAAAAGATAAGCAGCTATTTACATTTTTCCAAATCTTGGGTACAAAATTACAGTGATAACCAATCTGGAAGTTCGTAGTTATTTTGTGACAATATCAAAGTAACTGTTTTCTTGAGGTAATAGGCAAGGCAGTGTTGATTTGAATATTCAGCAAAAGTACTAGGGTAATTTTACATCGTGTGGTATTTTAAGAGGCAAACTAATAGCATAGTCATGAAAATTTCTTTGCTACATCAACGTTTGTGTTCACACATTGGAAGACTGTCCCCAAAAGATACAGGTTTTTTAGCTGTGATGTTACAAATTGAAACACCACTGAATTCATTGATAACTGTACTGTATTAAACATAATTTCTAAATGAAATACTGGAGCAGTAGGACCTCCTTATCTTTGGGATCAGTGGCTGCTGATTCACTTATTCATGGTCTGAAAATACAGTATTAAAAGAAAAATCCCAGTATACATACACATATATATTTCTAAAGAAGTTACCAGAACTGGCCACTATAGGGAGACAGAGACCATGTTATGTGTAGCATCTGCTATTTAAAATAGTGTTGCTTGTTTTTCAACATTGGGGTGGGGGGGCTTGGAAACGATCCCCCACATATAAGGGGGTCCTACTGTATGAGCAGAATGTGTGTATTTACAAATATTGCTCAATTGCTGAAAGCAGTGCTTACTGAATTGATTTAATTATTGGCTTTTATTTTCTTAGGCACTAGCAAAGAAAGCAAGAGATGGAAAATTATTACCAGAAGAATACCAGGGAGGATCTTTTAGGTATTATAAATGTATTTTAATTGTGACAAATAAGCAGTGTGATATGTTTTGCAAGACAGTAACCATAATTCTGTTGAAATGAAAGGCATGAGCAGTGTGGCCATTACAAAATACAAATACAAAAACAGGCAATACCTTTATAGGCCACTAATAAAAATCATACACTACGCAAGCTTTTGTGAGCAAATCCTAGTTCTTCAAAACAAGTGTCAGAAGTCCAAAAGCTTATGGCAAGGAGGGATTTGCCAGGCGATAATTCTTAGAGCCAAATGCAAAAACAGGCAATATCTTTATAGGCCACTAATAAAAAGCTTTTGTGAGCAATTCCCAGTTCTTCAAAACAAATGTCAGAAGTCCGAATGCTTATGGCAAGGAGGAATTTGCCAGGCGATAATTCTTAGAGGTAATGTTCTTGGCAAGATGAATTTCACCAGGCAGGTCTGTCTTAGATTGGGCAGGAAGTTGTTTTAAAGTTGCTACTCAGGCAGCTGTCAGTTGAATTTCACACTCCAGCTCTTAAAAAAGGGCACAGGCTATACATGTGTGTCAGTTGAATTTCACACTCCAGCTCTTAACAAAGGGCACAGGCTATGCATGTGTGCGCACACGCGTGCACACACACACACACACACTGTTGTTTGTGTAATTTGCTGCAGCTAATTGCCGCTGTTGACAAAATGCCGGGGCACATCTCATTTGCAAGCCTGGTCATGCACTGGATTGCACAACTCGTCACTTAACAGCAATTAGCCACAGCAAATTACACAAACCTCACATGAGCACCAGTAGCAATCTAGCCATGTCGCTTTAGCAAAGGATTTTATTTGGGTTGCCTAAGCTTGTTCCATTTTTAGTCTATGTTCAGATGTACCTACAAATAAGTTCATCTGATTGTTTATGCATTTGTTTAGTAAGTTCCCTGTTGTGATGTGAGTTTGGCTTTCTCCAGCTTGGCTCCTCAAATGATATTCACAGTTGTTCAGAAAACAAGGCAGCTTTCCACCAACTCTTCCTACCAGTTTGTGTGAAGTTGTGGGTGGGTGGGGGAATGAAAATTGTGAGAGGAGTCTGCATAACCTTACTAGCCTTGAAAAACACCTTTCCATTTGGGACATTACTGCACTACAAGTACATTGGCTGTTTCTTGTCGACTTTGGCTGCTCCTCACTGTTGGGAACTTCTCTGATATTTTAATTTTAATATGCATTATTTTCCAGGTAGGATTGTTTTTTTTCAGTGCATCCCTCTAGATTTACAGTAAACAATTGTAACAATGCCATTTCAGACACAACATGCAAGAGTTAAAGTAAGGTAACCAGCCAAAACTGAAATACTGTAGAGACATTTGCGATTAAACTGAATGGGATTAATCATTTCCTTAATCCTTCCCGTTTCTCTCTCATACCTGTGGCAGTACCTTTTCTATCTCCGCAGTATTTTTTTGTGGGTAGAATAAGCATTCTAATCTGCTTTGATATACTGTATACACCTTTTATATAACTTTCAGTCTACAAAGGAAGTAAGGAAATATTTTCCTGCCTTTATCACATATTCTTACTGTTCAGGATTGTACTTCCATAGAGCAAACAAGATTGCTTTCTGTTACCATAGGTTTCTTCTGATCAGTTTTGCTTAACTCTTTAGACCATTTTAGTCCTTAGCAGTTTCTATATATCTTTTCAGAGTGCCCCGTTCATATTCATCTCTATGTCTTTGTCCTCTTCCCTCCTTCCTGCAACAGCATTTCAAATCTAGGCATGTTTGGCATCAGTAGCTTCATTGCTGTCATAAATCCTCCCCAAGCCTGCATCTTGGCTGTGGGACGAAGCCGGCCAGAATTGGCACTTGTGGTGGACGAGGAAGGGAATGAGAAACTTCAGCAACATCAGCTCATGACCATTACTCTGTCAAGCGATGGACGAATGGTAGATGATGAACTTGCTTCAAAATTTCTCGAGAGGCTTAAGGCTAATTTGGAGAACCCAGCCCGTCTTGCATTGGGTTAAAATGTCCAAGATTTGGTCCTTGTCTTGGAAACTGGACTACAGAACTACGGTAACGAGCCACAAAAGATAGTGAGACTTGTGTGAGATAGACAATTAAACTGCTTATTTATTTGAATTGACTTGAAAGACATCTAGAGGTTTACATCTCCTGGTTTTTATATGCTGAAGACATATTTAATCTGTAAAAGAGGACATTTGCACAATATGCTGTCATATATAGTGTGGTCATATCTGATGTGTATATTGATGTAAAGAACTGTAAACGGGAACAAAATTCTCCTTTTCTTCAGGGCTAAACCTTTCCTCCCCAGAACAAATACTCAAGATATTATGTCTAGCCAGCCTTAGAAGTCATTACTTAGTTGGGCTGTGTCAGTGATACTGTTGTTTAAAAGAGAGAGTATTGCTAAAACTAGGATTCAAATATGAGAGTCTGGGAAGTTCAGAAGGAATCCTTTATGGTGGTTTTTTGCATACCATATATGTAACAGCTTTAATGATGTTAAATTGTTATAAAAAGTACATTGTATGCTAGAATTAAGAACAAATAGAAGTGAGGGAACTTGAGGGAATGCATATAAATAACTACTTCATAACAGCTCAATGACTTGAATGCTCATGGATATTGGCTTTAAAATATACATTGTATTAAAAACAAACACGTTTAAAATTCAAATACTGTTGTGATATATAGCTTGTCTACCTATGGTTTCTTTATAATCTTTACTGTTCTGCACCTTTGACAGCAGCTTAATTTCTTTGGATCCTATTGGGATTTAGACTAATCTTCTATGTGTAAGATTTAAATTATATTATAAGGTGTAACTTAATTTTTGAATGCAGAATTTCACAGATGCCAGTGTCTTTCAAAATGAGACAATTAAATATAGGTTCTAATTGTGCACTGGAATGAAATTTGGCTTTCATTTCATTTCCTCCTCATGGCAGCCCTTCCAGTTCTCCTCTGTGCTACCCTTTTGAATTATACTCTGTCCAGTCTGGAGGCAATTGACTTCTGCACCACAGCATGCTCTGTTCGACAAGTTCCTAGATACCTGGAGGCTGGAGGACCTGCCTTGTGGAGGATGGCAAGGAAATTCTCTTCTGTCAAACCTGTTGCACATGTCTAAACGTGGCTCTAACCCTGTATCCTTATTTGAATTGCCTTTTCCATTCTGTCTGCAGAGCAGATTCAAATCACAGCAGCTAGAAAGAGAACTGAGATGTGAATATCTAAGACTACATTTAATTGTACCTAGCAGTACAAGCCATGCCTTATATATAAATTAGGAGGATAGTCTTTTGATTTAAAGATATTGTCAGGTGTTAACTGTTGAAAAGAGGACTATTCTTTGGATTTCCAAAATTCTAATAGTACATACATTAGGCAATAACTTATCCATCATTCTTTCACAGATTATACTTAAGTGTTTAAATATAGTGAAATGCTAGTGCGTCTTTGTACTCAGAAAACAATATTTCCAACATAGTAGTTGCAGGTGTGAAGAAAATTGTCTACATCCCAAATATGATTTAATATGCATCATGAATACACATCTGTGCCCTTCTCTGTGTACACATGTTCATGACTTGTCAGTGAGTAATCTTGTATAAAGTGTCTCTGCTGCGGGTAGGGGAAATCCAAAGCTATGAACCCATATCAATTTATTAGAGAGTAAAAACCCTCTGAACCTAATGGAACTTACCTCTCTGTTTGACCTGTCAGGATGTTTCTCATTCACGATGCAACAGAGAATGTTTATATTGGTATTCTAGCAACCAGGGTTAGTTGCTGGCATCCCCATGCAGTTGCTTTCACAAGAGTCACACTAATCCAAGAGCCTGAAAAAGGATGCTAAAAAAGAAAGGGAATCAGTCCATAGCTGCAAGGAACAATATCTTCTGACAAGCTTGGCAATATTTCTGCTCAACTAAGATACGTTTATCATGCCTTTTAAGGACTGAAAGTCCTACTTTTCTTTGTCTGTTTAAAAAAGATACTGTAGAAATTACACCAGTTCCTACAGTCAAATGTGAAGCTCCCATATGGACAAGGTACATAAAGATTCCATCTGATCCCACTGAAATAGAAGGCTCATCCATAGCCCTGCTCAAGATTGTTTGGTTGGCTTCTCATGCTTTAAATTGATCAGTGCTGTTTTCAATATTTTTTAAAATCAGTCTCAATCTCAGTCTAATCTCTCTACAGAAATCTAGGAGATGTTTGATGTTATACTGTTTTTTTGCTATAACCATGCATGTATATGCATAACTGGCCTTTCTCTTCACATTAAATGGTAATCTAAAAAATTAAAATATTAACAATTGCATTTAATCAACATTCCTGCCCAGCTTCAGTTCAGTTAGAAGAAATAAAAAGTAGGATTTACCAAAGATGGTATGTGAATTGTTACCATTGACCCCAGTAGCACATTGTTACTGGTGCCTTCAAAAGTGCCTTTTTAGTTGGTTTAAAATTGTGTTTCCCCAACTGGCTTTTTCCAAATGGATTACATATTCCATAATACGTTTTCAGACTGTGTGAGAGAGAGTGCACGCGTGCACACTTGTGTCAGAGCAGTTTTGTTGGGAAGGACTATTTGTCTTAAAACACGGGATCTTACCTCCCTATTCCCAGAAGAAGAGGCACCTGTGACACCCCCAACACAACATTGTGTTGGCCCGCCACAAAAGAAGGTAAAACAGACCTCAAGTTTATGATTTAATAAGCTTTTTAAAAGTAATTCATGACTTGTAACAAGGAAATGGAGTCTGGGAGCAGCAACAGAGAAGACCCTTTCTCATGTCCCCACCAAGTGTCCCTGTGAGGGTGGCAGGATGGAGAAGAAAGGTCTCCCCAATGATCTTAAAGCCCAGGCAAGCTCATAGAGGGAGATGCAGTCTTTTAGATAGCTTGAACCCAAGCCGTTAAGGCTTTATAGATTAAAACCAGCACTTTGAATTGTGCTGGGAAACAGATCGGCAGCCAGTGGAGCTGCTGTAATGGGGGAGAGGGTTGTCACAGGATCTCTGTAACCAGTCCCAGTCAACAGTCTGGCTGCTGCATTTTGGACCCTCTGGAATTGCTGAACATTTCCTAAAGGCAGCCCCATGTAGAGCACGTTGCAGTAATCCAGTCAAGGTGTAACTAGGACATGTGTCACCATGGCCAGATCATCCCTCTCAAAAAACGACGCAGTTGGTGCACTAGTTTTAACCTGACCACTGATGAAACGTAGGCATCCAGGCTTATAGATGAATCCAGGAGCACTCCCAAGCTGTGCACCTGTGTTTTCAGAGGGAGTGTAAGCTCATCCGGCACAGGCTGCAACCCTATTCCTTGACCTGCTTTTCAACTGACCAGGAGCACCTCTGTCTTGTTTGCATTAAGTTTCAGTTTATTGGCAAAGTTTACTTCCATACCATTCCATGGCTCTTTTGTGTGCCTTTTTTCACTTAGCATAACTGTACACCATCCCATAAGTAACATGCTAGAGACCAAAATTTAATTCTGATCATATTGCATGCGAAAGTTGAACTAAACCAGCAGAGGGCAATCTGCACAGTCCAATTATTTCTTGTGTGCATAATTGTTGTTCTTCATGATCTTCTTGGCAGAGAAACCTTGGTTACTGCCTACAAGTAACCAAGTGGATTATAAATTTGCCTGGTGAAGTATATTCTCATCTGGAAAAGATAAACATATTTGAGTTAATGACAGGTCATTTAGGTCATTCAGCCAGGAAAAAGCACTACACCACTTGTCTTCTCAGATGTCCAAGTACAGTAATAGCAAGTTTCTTTCTCCCAGCATTCTTTAAAATAAGCATTCTATGTCTCTTCTTGTCCTTTAAACCAGAAGCTGAGGGAGACATTTCATCAAACATGACATCCTGAATGTACAAACATCACACAAGATGGTGGTGTCCTGAACTCTCTCTTTTCTTAAAGTCAGCATGTTAGCTTATTATTGCAGAAGTCTGCATTATGAATAGATGTTTGTAATTTCTACAACAGTTAACGCTATTAACATTTTTTTCATACAAGTTATTACCATTGCTATTTTTTTTAAATTTGGATTCTCGCTTAGAGTGTTTTATATCAGCTTCCATGATCTTTGGAATTCGTAGACCATGAATCTGTGGCTTAAAGTGCCTATTTTCCTGTTTCCAGTATGCTACCATCTTGCTTTCATTGTATCTTTCTAATGTTCTTCAGGTCAGTTACGTTTTGAAGTGTCAGAGTTGCTGCAACATATTTTCCCCTCAGTACTCATGAGATCAAACCATCTTGTAAAAAGTCCTCTTAAATCATCTCCTCCTTCCAAAGAAAAAAGGAGTGGTAACTTCACCAATGGAGGTTTCTTCAGAAGTTTAAGAATACTGTGATCTCCAAGGCAAATAGTTTTGTAATAGACTCATAACCTTTCATATGGCTGACTGAATTCTTCAGCTTCCTTCCCATCTGTGACCATGTGTTCTCCCAAGCCCTTCTTGTTTGCCTGGCATTCTTATCTGTCTTCTCCAGGACCCATCTCAGTGCTCCTAAAGGAAATAAGAGCTCCACCAAAGAATAGCATTATGCATTTTCTATACTGTTGGTGTGTAACTGGAATGCAATAGCTCTTCTGACCAAATAGACTAAGGTAGCAATTAAAACATAGATAATTTTCAAGGTCTGAACACAGCATAAACAATGCTTAGACTTGTTGACTATCACATATTCAGTTTTTCTTATAATTATACATCTTCTAAACTTTCCCTGAACTTTCAACCTCCTCCTTTTGCCTTTATACTGCACCACTCAACACCTCATTCCGCCTCTCAGCAGCAACTGCCTCTCTCCTCTAATAACCACTGCCCTCTTTATTTATATGTTTGCTTATGGTTTGACTTATATACCACCCCATAGTGCTTAGGGTACTCTCTGGGTGGTTTATAACATAATTAGGCAAGGAACACATAATGCCCTCCCTCAGCATTCTGAGGACTGTGATGGGATGAGCCCAAGAGAGTGTAGACACCAGTACTGCCTGTCACAACACCCCTCTGATAACAACTTCAGTTCTGATTAATCTTCTCCAGCCTCATTTAGATTTTAACTTCATGTAGTCAACCATTGTTAATCAAATTATTTTAATTGCTAGAGAAATACTTTTATTAACTGTCCTAGGGGTGACTAATGAAAGGAAGCTGCAGGGATAAATTGTTGATAAAACCTAATGCATGGTAGACGTCTGGGAGTAACTGAAAAAAAAAATATTCCTCCAGTCACTGTCTCTCTTTGTCTCCTTGCAGTTCATAAACATCTAGGATCTCTCTCTCTTTGTTTTGCCTGTTCTTTATTCCATTTCTGCTGATCCAATTATTTTTTTTCTGTTCCAAATTGTGTTAATATTTTCTTCAGGCACCCCAAAGTAATCAAGGTTTTGTTCTATGCTCTCTTACCATTAATGGATGACTCTTTCTTTGATCAGATAACGGTTTCAGTAAACAAATAGGAAGGCAGTTTTCACTTATTTCTTTCCACAGTCCCCCCTCACCCAATATGGTAACTGAGGACACAGAAAATAGAATATAACATAGTGAATGACAGGAGAAAATGGGAATTTGCAAATATTGCTGCTTTCTCTTTGGGGAAATGTCTGCTGGATCAAAGCACGGTCTATGAATGGAT